ATACCAAATATGAATGAACAGTATGTTGCCTGTGTTACCATGACAATGGGAATCATTTTAGGTTATATACTGTTAGTTTTTTTCATGTCAATTAATCAAGTTAAGCCCCTAAGCCCCATTTACATTGACAGGTCTTTTTCAGTGGACCTTTTGATTTCTCAAGAGAAATGTGAAAACTGAAAAGTATCTTGCATGATGGCCCAATATGTCCTCCTCTAAGTCCGATAGAGTCCCATTGAGTCTGATGGAGCCATGCCCAGTCAGGTGGAGCTCTGTGGAGTCTGATAAAGTGCTATGGGGTCCTTTGACAGCGTGCATAAAAGCCTCTGTTGCCATGGTTATATCACATGATCAGGCTTTAACAAAAATGTCTGATGGAGACCAGTGAAAGAATAGAACTGCTCATTCTACAATAAGTCTGGCAGTCTTTTCATTCCAGACTCCATTGAATCGGACTTGGGGGGTCTCAACGGGATATAATCAGATTTTTATAAAAAAAACTGCCAAGAGCGATCAAGACTGGCAAAAGTTCTGTGAAGTCTAATCTGAAATTCCTATCAAAACCGGCAAAAGACAGGAGGTCTTTTCTCATATTGGAAATACACAGGGATAAAAAAAGAACAGTCAGTGTAAACCAGGCCTTGCAATATTAAAAGAAACTAAATGTATACTGGTATCAAAAAAAGAATTATACTGGTAGGCATTATTGATGGATAAGATCAATACAGTTTATGACAAATACTTTCTATCAAAGGAATGTTATACCGAAGTGATGTTTTTAAGGTTGAGCCCTGTTAATATTGATCAGGGGAACAATACTTGTATACCCTGGGGAGTCCGGTTTATTGCCGTCATCTATTGGTAGAATTATAGCATAGAGATATATGTATTATCAAATTTCCCATAGGCGTTGTATAAGGAACATGAAATGTAATTTATATATAAATGATGCATAGCTTCTTCTTCTGAATTAGCTGACTCATAGTAATGCAATTGTCTCTCTATTCAGAATAGGCCAATGACTGGTAATATCTAATCTTGGTTGTAATATTATGTGGAATATTTGATTTGATGGGATTAGGGAAAATGTCGCAAGTCATATATGTCTCTCCAAGCTCATACTCGTAGAAAAAGCGTCATTTTATAATAACTGTAAATTCTGTCTAATCGGAACACTATTGGGACCAGCTGAAATAATTTAAATTAGGAGGTGTTTACATTTTGAGATCTTTAGTATTTGTGAGATTTTGAATTCTCAAGAAACGGGGGCATATTTTCAATAAATACATTTCATAATGGCATTTCAATGATTTGAATAATTTGGAAGACACATATATTTTCAATGAGTTTAGATATCATGAAAAATGGTGATTTGTAGATTTGAGCGATCATGTGATATTTTATGGAAATTGTTCATGTAAGTTCAAATATGATTGTTCACTGATCAAATGGGGAGGTGTTCAAAAAAAACGGTACCAAAAAGTGTTTAGATTATGACATGTTCAGATTACCCAGGTGTTCAGATACAGGTTTTACTGTTAGTAGGGTGATACTAGAGGCTACAAGAGAACCAATTGGGGCAACTAGGGTGCTTCTAGAGAACCAATTTGGGTAACTAGGGTGCTATTGGGGCCTACTAGAGAACCAATTGGGGTAACTAGGGTGCTACTAGAGGCTACTAGAGAACAAATTGAGGTAGTTAGGGTGCTACTAGAGAACCAATTGAAGTAACTAGGGTGCCACTAGAGAACCAATTGGGGTAACTATGGTGCTATTGTGGACTACTAGAGAACCAATTGGGGTAACTAGGGTGCTATTAGAGGCTACTAGAGAACCAATTGGTGTAACTAGCAATACCGGGGGCAACTAGAGAACCATTTGGGGTAGTTAGGGTGCTATTAGGGGGAACAAGAGAACCAATTGGATAACCAGGGGTCTACTAGGGACAACTAGAGAAGGAATTGGGAACAAGGGTGTTACTAGAGAACCAATGGGGGCAACTAGGATGCTACTAGAGAACCAATTTGGGTAACTAGGGTGCTACTAGAGGCTACTAGAGAACCAATTGGGGCACCTAGGGTGCTACTTGGGCTATTATAGAGAACCAATTGGGGTAACTAGGGTGCCAATAGGGGCTACTAGAAAACCAATTGGGATAACTAGAACAATACCGGGAGCAACTAGAGAACCAGTTGGGGTAACTAGGGTGCCAATAGGGGCTACTAGAAAACCAATTGGGGTAACTAGAACAATACCAGGGGCAACTAGAGAACCAGTTGGGGTAGTTAAAATGCTATAAGGGGCAACAAGAGAACCAATTTGATAACTAGGGGTCTACTAGGGGCTACTTGAGAACTAATTGGGGTTAACTAGAGAAATACCGGGGACAACTAGAGAACCAATTGGGGTAGTTAGGGTGCTATTAGGGGCAACAAGAGAACCAATTAGATAACTAGGGGTCTACTAGGGGCTTCTAGAGAATGAATTGGGAAACAAGGGTGTTATACATTTGTATTTTTCTTGAAAATCAATATTTTATAAAAATGGGGTAGGGATACCATACTTTATCTGTTTTATGAAGTAATATCATTTTGGAGAGACTATATGAACCTATATGGTATTTATCTGCTGTTTGCACTTCATTTATTATACTTGGAAGTTTTAGTAATAATCCAGTCACTATAAATACATTTAGTCCTTGGAAAAGAGAATATTGAATCTTATTTGTATAGTTATTTTACTTCAAAAATAGGGCAGGTACCGCATAAATTTGACCAAATGTAATTATATTTAGACAAATCATGATAACTATGGATGCTAATTACTTAGATGCGAGTAGGTAGTTACCAGTTTCGTCACCAGGTGGCTGATTCGGGGGAAATAACATGGCAGGGTATTATAAAATCCCCTTAAACCTGAATATTCATCAGTTTTAGTGGTTCACTTTACATATTACTCTTATGTATGTGATAGTTATATAAATTAAAATATGTCCAGTAAAAGAAAATATCATCTACCCAACACAAGAAAAGATATTTCACTTTTTGTGGTTTTACAACATGGGGTCTATGGGGGATCTCCCCGACCTAGAAGTCACATTTTCAAAGAAAATTAAATTTTCAAAGTTGATAAACTCTTTTCAAAACCACATTTCTAGATGTAATTTTACATGTAGATTCCAAATATGACATCAGTTTGAATAAATTTTTAATAACGTAAATCAAGATTATTTCTACTAGCATCTAGGATATTGATCATTACACATTAAATATTACATGTGAGCACTATAAACACCAACCAATATGATAAAAGGTATTATCTATCATTATATGTGTATTTTTCTTGAAAATCACTATTTTAGAAGAATGGGGTAGGTACCATACTACATCTATAATATGGAGTAATGTCATTTCGTATAGACCAAATATGTTACCTGTGGTATTAATCTGCTGTTCATATTCCATTAATGATATTTGTAAGTTTTAGTTATAATCCAATCTTTACAAGTGCACCTATTGCTATATTTAAACAATGCGCGGTTTTATACCGGATGCCAAAAAGTGGCCAACATATGATGAAAACAAGGGAAAAAATCAAATCAAAATCATATTGAAATGGCTGTATAGATTAATGCCGCAAAGTACTCAAATTGCATCCGGCAGATTTGAATTTAGGACACCCTAAATATACTGAAAAGTTACAAATATAGCATGCATCCAAAAGTTCCATCATTCTTGAAAATATGGCAATATATTGCAGGACTAATATGCAGATCACTATTATGCATATTAACATACATGTCTTATATGTCTTATGTAAATAGTGCTAATATAACAGAAATATGGAAATACATTAATATTGTATGTATATATCTAAAATACAATTTGTTTATTCTTTACAAACATATGATTTATCCTAAAATGGATTTTGAATAAAATAATAGTTCTAGTACCAATATGATATTATTTAAAAAATATTAACTTCACACAGTAAATGAATCCATTTTGGTTTTAGTGCATTCTGCCCTCAATTCCTTTAACCTAGAAATGCTTTTTCTGGACAAGTCACCAAGAAGGATACTTTTCATACCCATTTATAAGTAGACTCATACATATTTAAAAGCTTATACTCAAATTATTTCTAGCATCAATAATGATATTTAAATAGTAGTAATTCTACCAGTTTATTGATAATTATAACTAATATGTTATCATTAATATCAAAAACATCTCAAAATTACCTAAACAATGGTTGAAAAAAATATAATTATGACATCACAATAAATATGCAAATGAGCAAATTGACATATCTTGTTAATTATGAACAGGGGGCATCAATAGCTTCATTTTGGTATATATATCATTAAAATCGGACAAAGAACACGTGTACTATGTTCAAAAATATGATTTCTGATTAAATGATTAAATTTTTAAAGTTGCCATGGAAACGGCTGTTTTTAGCTTTTTTCAAAGCTTGCAGCCAATTTATTTCGAACTCAAATGATGAAATTTAGTTATGTCTACCAATACATTTTCAATTACAACTAATGTCTCATTATAATATCAAATATATCACCAAAATACCTCAAATCGGCTCAAGAATCTACTTATGACGTCATAATAGATATGCAAATTAGCTAATTTGCATATTTTCTTGTTTATAAACAAGGGGGCGTCAATAGCTTCATTTTGATATATGTATCATTAGAATTGGACAGATAACAGGCGTTCTATGATCTGAAAGGTGATTTCTGATTTATTGATTATATTTTAAATGGTTGCTATGGAAACGGGTGTTTTGCAATTTTTGCCCCAAATTCAAACTTAGGTACAAGTGGATTTGAAATGCTGAAGTCTTTAGCTTTACAATGATACCTCATTTGTCCTTTTCCCCTTCGTGTATATTAATCACAATTTTCAGACCTCCATTCTACTAGCCTATGTAGTTTTGTTTCCTTTTTTTAATCCAACTAAATTTTCAATTTCGTTTTATATTTTTAGTTGAAACTGGAAGCCAGAGTGTACCAAATGAGTTCGCTGAAATCCAGACCCACTTAAGACAAATAGACAAATCTATAGATGAGCACAAAATAGGCAAGAATGGTCTAGACCAACTGACAGCTAACATATCTTCTCTTACAAAACAGGTTAGTATATTTGAAGTAAACTGTTTAGAATTTTGATTGTTTTTTCAGTAGACATCACTTTTATGTATGATTCTGTACATCAAGAAAATTTCAGGGAAGATTTCTGGATTTTCAAAAGTTAATATGACAACCTATAGAAAAGGATTGCACCAATTTTGAATGGAAGTTGTAAAGAAGAGCCAAAATGAGTAAAGTTGACTTTTTCTGACTAGACCAGCTTTGCAGTAATATACCATAGCTGAGTGCATACCTATAGCCATTTCTCTTCATACATTACATAATCATTTCACATCATCGAAATTCTGATCGCTGATAAACATGCATTTTGCATTGGATATATATGATTTAAAGACTGCAATGTTTCACATGTATGAAGAAGTAAAACATATCCATGTTCATATACCTTTTTATGTGTCGTCGATCAGGATTTGTAGACATTTTGACTGTATTAGATTGTAATTTATTTCAATGTATTCAAATTGTATATTTATATAACTGTTTTATCTTTACTATGCATTTGATTACATTGAAAACACACAGTATGCATAATTTAATATATTCTACTTCTAAAATAGCATAGAATCAGATATAAATATCACATTGTGATGTAAAAATACGACATTTTGGTTTTTAATCGTTGTGGCTTGTCTTTACCACTACCATTCGGAATTGGTGCAATCTCTTCATATAGGGAGTATGAGTATGACCATGGAAGCTTAATTTAGTGATTTTCTTTCATTTCTGTTTCAGTACAACAAACTGAAGGAAGACTTTAAAGAGCTGAATAAGGGCATAAAAGCAGCTCCAGAAATAAAAACACTCCCTGGAGAAGTAGAAACACTCACAAATGTAAGTGATGGGGAAATCTCAGGGGAGAGAGTGTTATATCTCATAGTAACAAGGGTCTACACAACCTATAATAAATACTTGTAGGTTACGCTATTATAGCAAATTGTATGTCAAAAATAATTAAGATGATATAGTCAGAGAGTGGGGGAGTAATATACCTATAACGTAGAACAAAGTTGCATGAATTTTTTTTGGTCAAATATTTTGTGATTATAAACATCACATTTAAGATTTTATTGTTATCACGCCTGCACACTGCCTGTACAAAATGTTGAGGGGACGTTTTTTGGGTTGTGTAGACCCCCATTGCTTGATTTATAACAAAAAGATTGACTTTTGCATGCTGGTGACACTGCACCTTTTTAAATAAATCTCATACCCTAGAAGCGTATCACTTCAAAATTTTATTGATTTATGATTGATATGAATCATGGCATCATCTTCTCTGATTTGTCAAAAACATTTTTGATCACATTGCTAACATAAACGAGATGGCGAAGTGTCTTCCTCGTTAAATTGTATTTTTATATTTTTAAATGTAGAATTCCTGCTCACATCAGTAAAATGTTAGCTAAGCCCGTGGCTGAAATCAGCCGAGACTAAATGAGATACTGGATTTCAATTGGATCGTTAATTATCTAAAAGATTTCATTGCCTTGGAAGATCAATGTTGAAACCATCTCAACTCCCACATAAAAAGGGATGAGTTCTTTTCAAATGATTTTCTTATTCATATTGTCATGGTGACCAGCCCTTGAACAGCAATTTATTGAGGTCCTGTTTTGCTCAATCAAGCATGAATTGAGACTTAGTGGCTCAATGTTTGTCTGAATTGCCCCTTGACGCAAATATCCAGGGACGTAAATTAGTTTTCAGCTTTGATAAACTTGGCTGTCAGTTTAGGGAAATAGAACTTTGCTTGAGCACTCTAGTATATCGGATCAATTAATTTGATTATTTTGATGATTATCCCGTGATTTCAAGTACTGAGTACTGTAAAAGAATTGTGTCAACCATCCCCATTTATCAGTTTCAATTTGGGGTTTATGCCACTGCAATGATAGTCATTGCTTTTCTCTATGCCTATAAATATGCTTCATCTTAATTCTTTCACCCTTCATGAAATTTTAAGAAATTCACAAAATTAAAAAAATTCCAGGTATCTTGTCATACGACCTATCCTGTTTAACTGGTTTAACCACCGTACCACCCGTCCCGTACCCTTACCCTTTTTAAATTCTTGATAAATGTTAATTCTATCTTAAAACTGTAAAACAGTAAAAAAAAAGATTATATTTATATCAACTATTGGTATACAGCTAGTACCAGACTTGGATTACTGGGCAATCAAGCATTCAAGAACTCATCATATCCCTGTTTATTTTACAAGGGGCAATCCACATATTCAGATAAAATTGTACAATAATCAAGCACATTTGATTTAAGATAGCTTTTTTCCATTTTCAGAGTGTAGCAGCATTTGGGTCAGATATTAACACTCTGAAAGATAATGTGAAAATGCTACAAGAATTTAAAACTTCAACAAGTTCTACTTCTGAGACAGTAGAGGACAGACTGCAGAAAATTGAGGTGAGACATAAGCTTTGAAAACATTTGTAGAAACAATTCTGGATTTTAGTTTCGCTTATTGTAGAATATGCCAAATTCAGGAACCAGCACCAAGACAAAATCAAATCTCAGACCATAAATCAAAAGATTCTAAAGAAAAAGAAAACATGATTTCTAAGTTTTAGTTTCAAAAGTGAAGTTGATCGCAGATACTTATGAAATGGTCCAACATTAGGTCAATTGTGTTTTTTGGGGTTACCCCGTAAATATATAAATGTGTAGCATACATTCTTGTTATGTTTTGTTAGGAGGGGCTTACAAAGCTGTCCGGTGCTCCTGCTCCTGTTAATCCCACACCAGGGGTTGGTGACATAGATCTATCTGAAACAGATTCAGCCTCTCTCCAGACCTACTTAGATAAGGTACAGAATGTTTCTTTATCAACAGATTTGAATCCATTTGATTACTCCATCGAACAAAGTTTGTGAATATAGAAACCATCCGTTCTTTCTTCCTGAGTTAAACATTCTTCAAGTCATTTTCCTGTTAAGTCTGTCCTCTTTCCTCAAGTTAGTATGACCCTTTCAATGGAGGACAAATTTTAAGGGTATATGTGCCAGAACGTTGACAAATGACAGAGAATATACCCATTTGTAAAAAGTGTTTATTGAATTTTAATGTGTAGTCTATATCATAACAAAAATCTAATGCCTGTCGTAGAAAATATGGTTTCTGCTGAAAAAGTGTTAAGTATATTGTAATAATTGTACTTTATTCCATTATTTTATGGTTGTTTCCATAGTTACTAATACTTAAAATATCATGTCAAAGTAAAAAATCCAATTTTTGTAAACAGTGGAAAAAATATAAAGTTTTTGGCAAGTATTCACTGAACCAATGAATACAACTTTTAAACCAAGAGATTTGGTGAGGTTTCTGATGAATTTAACATATTTTTGCTACTTGACTAAAGACGAGGCTGACATTATCATTGGCAAATCAGTCGTTTGGAAAGTTTGATTCTGAACATAACAAGCACCCTTTAAAGGTAGAATCAGATCTAGCAAGATGGCACTCACTACTATCAGTACTTTTGACAAAACGGATTCAATTTTAGAATATTTTGGACTCATATCATTCCTTATTATGTCTATAGAACAATATAACATTGCTTGTAATTTTATCACTCTAGATCTGATTCTGTAACTATAGAATTTAAAGGACATTTTCTGTTTATTTTAGTCTCTGGCCAGTGTGACTTCATCAATGCAGAATATTAATAATACCCTGCACCAGCAGATGTTCAACATCCAGGTAATGCTGCTTATATTCATAATTTTAGCATTATACTTGTACTACGTAGTCTTAGGTTTCAATTCGCAATTCATTTAAATGCTGAGGTACAACAGAACAATATTGGGTAATTTGGAGATAAAACATCATCAAAGACTATACATAGGAAATTTGCTATATTGTTCTGTGACCTTTTCATTTTACTAATTGGTTGAAATACTTGTTAATGCCTGGGTCACATTTGCTCCGATCCATCAGCCGGCTCCCGGCGCATGGCCGATCTAGTGTATTGTTCAATATTTTATTCAATATTGAACAAAATACTCATTCGCCCGGGCGCCGTAGTGAAAATCAGAGCAAATGTGACCAAGGCATAACATTTACCACTGTTAAAAGGTTTTGCAATCAGACTTTTAGGGCTTAATTATCTTCATTTGATCAATACACATACCATGGGCATAGCCAGGGGGTGAACATCTGTACACCCCCCTTTTTGGGGCTATCGTCACTCACAGTGATGTTAACCTCCTCCCCTTGATAATTGCAGGCTAAGCCCCTGCGTACTGCATCTTTCATTTCATTATAAAAAAGAGTCAACATTTACTTGTAATATCCAAAAGTTTACTCATTGAGCATTTATGATTTAGACATTAATTTAGTTAAAATAAGAAAATTATTAAAACCATCATGCTTTGTGTTAATGAATAAATCATGTACTTAATTAAGTCCAGAATTATATGGAAATCTCTCAGTGTAAAAATATGAGATTAAAGTATAGTAAATTTATGTGTAACCTCTCTATTTACATTAATTGTTGCAGAGCCAGCTGAAAGTTGTAGAAAATCGCACAGTTGCAGTGGACACCAGACTTAACCTGATTGAGTTGTCACCCCATATACGAATGGTGCTGAATGGGAGCCAGGAGCAGATCATCAAAACATTAGTCACTGAGGCAGTGCAAAAAGCTGTATGTTGAGTTCCTCAAAGTCAAAGTTTTGCCGAATAAAGTTATATGATATAAGTTATGTTTAGGTACTGTATGTCATGAAAGTTAACGGATATTTTGTCATCATGTCAGTTTTTAAAATCTGAAGAAATTTCATTTTCACTTTCTCATGTGACTAACAAAGATACAGCCACAAAAATAAGTTGAGATGTCATAGCAATGGAGCTTTGTTGCCATTATAAAAATTTATTCCATGGCCATTTGAAGTATATTTGCTTACTGAAACAATTATACTGTACTTGTAGGTGCAAAATGTTGACCTGACTACTGCTTCAGACAACCTTACAACACCTACAAAGATAGATGGCAACACTGTTCCCCTTTCTGATGTCACGCTGGCTACCATAACAGCACAAATAGACAACATCACAAAAATGGTCACCACTTTTGAGAAACAGTTAAGCCAGGTAACTGAAAACATTATGTGCATGTAAGAAATTAGTTTCACCAGATTACTCGAAGGTACATAAAGAAAAATAAATTTCTAGAATATATTGTCAAATGTTGAAGAAAACAAAAAAACATCTCATTTTATATTATTTGAAAATCATTGCATTGTATTGTTACAAGTGAGAAATCCTAAAATATTACAAGGAATATAAAGAAATAAAACCCAGTCAATTATGCCATAAAAAATTTGAATCTTCCATCAATTTTTGTTTGTTGTAAATATGTTCACCAAACAATGTACAAGTCATGGGCTCATTCAAGGATACCAAAACAAAATATTAGGTTTTGATGAAGACTTGAAAGATACTACTTGAAAGATACTAATAACTGTTACAGATGCAGGCAGCCAATCAAGGTTATAATGAACCAACAAGATTTAATGCAACAGCAGGCCTTCAGCAGATGATGGGTACTATGTTTGCAGCCTTTATGAACATTACCCAACCTGACAATGAGGTAAGATATATTATGTTTGCAGCCTTTATGAACATTACCCAACCTGACAATGAGGTAAGATATACTATGTTTGCAGCCTTTATGAACATTACCCAACCTGACAATGAGGTAAGATATATTATGTTTGCAGCCTTTATGAACATTACCCAACCTGACAATGAGGTAAGACATACTATGTTTGCAGCCTTTATGAACATTACCCAACCTGACAATGAGGTAAGATATACTATGTTTGCAGCCTTTATGAACATTACCCAACCTGACAATGAGGTAAGACATACTATGTTTGCAGCCTTTATGAACATTACCCAACCTGACAATGAGGTAAGACATACTATGTTTGCAGCCTTTATGAACATTACCCAATCTGACAATGAGGTAAGATATATTATGTTTGCAGCCTTTATGAACATTACCCAACCTGACAATGAGGTAAGATATACTATGTTTGCAGCCTTTATGAACATTACCCAACCTGACAATGAGGTAAGACATACTATGTTTGCAGCCTTTATGAACATTACCCAATCTGACAATGAGGTAAGATATATTATGTTTGCAGCCTTTATGAACATTACCCAACCTGACAATGAGGTAAGACATACTATGTTTGCAGCCTTTATGAACATTACCCAACCTGACAATGAGGTAAGACATACTATGTTTGCAGCCTTTATGAACATTACCCAATCTGACAATGAGGTAAGATATATTATGTTTGCAGCCTTTATGAACATTACCCAACCTGACAATGAGGTAAGATATACTATGTTTGCAGCCTTTATGAACATTACCCAATCTGACAATGAGGTAAGATATACTCTATTTGCAGCCTTTATGAATATTACCCAACCTGACAATGAGGTAAGACATACATGGAGAGAAAAAGTAGGGTTTTATTTTTTTCATTTTATCATATGATATTATGTTAATATACCAAGGGAATAGGGACAACCCTTTATATACCTGATGGACAACATGTTAAGGTATATCTGAAGACTACATAAGCTAATCGACTCATGTTTATCTGTTCCAGATGGCTGATATAGGTCAGCACCAGAGTGAACTTATAGATCCTACTTTTTCCACAATGATGGAACTGCAGAGAAAATTAGCAGATGCTCCTAAAAAACTGATATCCTCTGTTCTTCTCCCTGTAAGTACAACCACTGTCATTGATTGGTATGCTCCTGTGTAAGTGGACACATTTTTGGAGGTGCTCAACCTACAGAGGTTTACTCTATATTAAGTTAATGGAAATCAAATATGGGAAAGGGATTCACCTATGGAGATGCTCTTTTTATAGAGACCTTCCACTGATTTTTTGCTATATACTAGTTTGTAGGGGTCAAACGGTTAACCGCGGTACGCGGTTACCGCGGTTAATGATGCTAGGACGGTATTTTCGGTTCATAAACATGAGATTCGGTTCATCCACGGTTCGAGGAAAAATTGAAATATGAAATTTTTTAGACTTCAATATTCTCTCTTTCGTTCGACATGAACTTATTCTTCATGTATATATTCCTTAAAAACATGTTTATAGCAATAGAGAACATTCAATTCTTACCTTAGATATGAAACAGATCGCTCACAAATCGATAGACAAGTAATTGTTTACATTTTTGTGACATATAAATAGACCGGAAGTTGGTCTCGCCAGATTACGCTATTCATACTACAATTAATTTTGCTTCGTGGAGGTGTTTTGTCTGTTATAATGAGTTAGTTTTTAATCAATATTATTTAAAAAATACTGCAATTACAGAAATTATAACATTACTAATGTCTTTGTTAAAAACTTGAAACATATTTGTGTTTAAATCTCCCGCACAATCGCAGCGCCATCTGTGCTGATTCAGCTGCTTTGACAGACTACAAGAATCCCGGGGCTATGTTACTGCTTGTGCTACATGTAGATCTCATCTCTTATCTGACAGAAATCTTATCAAGGACAGAAAAATCTAAAGTTTAAAATTTAAAGTGGGCCACTAGGCCAATAAACTTTGCTTTGTCAAGTCAATTTAATAAAAAAGGATAGTGGGACCAGAAAGTGACCAACTTGGGCAAGGCTAGATAGAAAGCTAAAACCTGTTTTTTTATGAGCTGTCTTTACAATTTTATAAGGAAATATTACCAATTTACGAGACCCGCGAGAACCGTGAAAGAACCGAACCGTGAACCTAAAAACTGTGACCGAACCGAACCGTTAGAATTTTGAACCGTTTGACCCCTACTAGTTTGTGTCCGATGTATAGATGGTTATGGTAAATATATGGTCACCATTTCCATATTTGCTTTTTATCTAATTTCATATTGTCTAAATTCTTTTGTAACATCCTGTTTGTATCTGCAACTGATTGATAAGTAAGCCCAGAATGTGTGCTTAAAAATTATTTACTTAAATACAAACTTTTAGAAATGATACCTAGGTGTCTGGTTACTACAGTAGACACAAGCAAAAAAGGGTTTGTCTACTATTAGCTGACTTCCAACAATGTGGAGAGAATGTTTGCTATCCCTTCAATTATGTTGTCTTCATATAAAATATTTCCTTCTTTCAGTTTATGTCAATGAGTCAACCTGGGGGAATGAACCTAACAGCTTTAGGTCCTATTATTAATACAGCAATGTCTTCTGTTATGGAGATTTTCAAAGATGCCAAGCACCTTCAAATTGTTGTAAGTTGTACTCATGTTTAGTTCATTCTCAAGTCTTAGTCTCAGGAACAACTATTTGCATTGTTTTTATTGTACATAAAAACGTAAGATATTGCTTCAGTTTAATGTTAACAGTCGAGTTTAGAATCAAGAAATATGCTATGTTGAGACCTAATGAATGTCACATTACTAAATAACCTTCATTTATTTACATAGAGCTGTGACTGACAAATGACAATAGATGTCATCATTGAACTGACTGAAGTTAAATGTTCCATATTATTTGTGCAACTCAATACTAGATATTTTTCATAAATGCAGAAAGAAATTACAAGACCTTGAGCAAGATCAGCTCACACATATTGTAAAATCTCCATATCCAAATGACTCTCTCTGTAATCTGAATATCTCTCAAATTTTTCAACATTTTTCTTAATCCACTATCATGTTAAAGACCTTGAAATGTGAACATCTGCCATTACAAACACTTTTGACGAGTACCGGCAGGATTCAAGTTTTTACTATACCAGTTTTACTGTGTATATTAAAACTTCTATAATCATTGGTCGTACAGAAAACCATACATAGAGCTGAAGAAACACTGGGTATTCCTTGAATATAAAACTATATTAAAATTTTTACTTTTTTTTCATACATTACAGCAACTGAGATTGTTTGAGGAGTTACATGGAAACATCTCATTGTTGAACCAAAGCATTGGGGATAATACGATACAGCTTGTCCGTCACTCCACACACCTAGATGCCATGGATGAATCTCTACGTAACCTTATAGCAACTAAAAGCAAACTTGCACCAAGACCTAAAGACATTATTACACCTACGGAGCCTAAGCCTCTTACAGACATTACCAGTAGTCAACCTGCATCAACCACTACTGGGCAAACTGAGGGTATGTTAGCATGTTAATATGGGGATTTTTGTTTGTTGCGTAGCATAGTACAAATAATCTATGTTGTATTGACATGTATAACCATTTCTTTTAGCTTACGGAATGTGTTAGATACAGTCATGTGTATCTGATGATGACAATTTAAAAAGGTGTTTGATTTAAATGTTTTGCTTTGTATGTTGTCCTTATCAATGTGTTGTGTTTTTATGGTAATAATGATTTTTTAGTATTGTTTCACATATTTGTATTTTTAGATTGCTTGTCTTTCTTAGGTTTTGTTTTTGTTCAGATTTGTTGATTTGTTTTGAATGCATGCTTTATAATATGCATGCATATTTAATTGCTTGTAGTAACTAGTCCAACACTTGCAAGCAGTGATAATAACACAACCTCTAGCTATACATCAACCAATGTTGATAACAGCACAACCACCAACTTTACCTCAAGCCTTGTTGATAATAGCACTAGCTTGGATACATTCGATCCACTCATGGAAGGAGAGGATGACTACCCTGACACTGGTGAAAATGCCTCACAGGGTATATCTATATTGTTGTTCAGTTGTTTGTTGTGGTACAGCCAATAGATTCTTTTTCAATTTTTGTTGAATATGCTTGCTAAAGAATGAAAATAATGAGAACACATGCTTTGCTTTTTAAATCAGCTACCAGTACAATAATTGATCTTATATCTATTCCATAAACTTTACATTAACAAGAATTCATATCAAGATAACATTACACCTTTTTTTTTAATTCATCATTCACTTGTGTAATGCCATTAATATATATTTGTCTTGTTTATAGAAGTAACGACCCAGTCTGTCTCTAGCAGTGCTGCCATTACCATTCCTAACATTAATGACATGGAAGGTAAGTAGTTCTGAGTACAGACTAGTGAGATTGACAATGAAGTAATACATCGTATTATTTTATTTAACTTCATCCTGTATTTTACAGAACACAATGTACTGTACTCGAAGTGTATTATTTATAATTCACACATAGCTAGGCAAGGTGTGTCTGATTCCAGCCAATCCAAACAGAGTATTCACATAATAAACAGTGTGTGAAATATCAATAACGCATACAGTTGCTTAGTGATTGAGATTGAAATTGAGTTTTCCAATACTTGACCCCTGTTTCATTGAAAATATGTTCTTTGGGTGATTTTGCATCTTTTAGGCGATTTTATAGAAAATATTTTGCAATGTGTGAAAAAAATTTAAGCCCAAGACTTAATGCATTGTGGCTGCTTCATTCCAATTGGATTTGGAAACAACACCTTCGTGGAATGGTTCAGCACACAATGCACTGAGTTCAAGGCTTAAATCCTTGAATAAAACATATGTGTACAGAATGTATAGATAGTAGAGCATTTCTCATTTAGAGAAGAACCAGCATTGATAATATACAGTATATTCGAATGTGACAATACTCTATTAGATTCTCTCATAGTCATTCTCTAATTAATTATCTGTAGATGAATGACTGTTTATTGTACAATCTGCACCTGAGAATCGACATCAACTTATTTAGCAGTGACACATAGCAGACATCACAAATCAGCCCATCTTGAATTTATTTATTTTATGTTCTAGATCTTGAACAATATTTTGCCAAGTGGGACATTCGTGGAAATGGCTTTCTTGAATACAGGGATCTACCAGGATTCCTGGGACCTGATACCCCTGATGAGGACACGCTGAAGGAGTTTGATTTGAACCATGATGGCAAGTATGATGTAGAAGAGTTTGCGGCTGCTCTAGGGTTTAAAGAGGAAGCTCAAGAAGCAAAAAGTAAGTTTGGTATGTTTGACTTTTTATGTCCCCACCACATAGTGTGGGGCCATATTGTCGGCCTAGGCGCGTCCAACTGGTCCGTCCGTCTGTCCGTCCGTCCGTCTGTCCGTCCGTACGTCCGGGAGTTTTCTCCAAAACCGCTACAGATATCACCTTCAAATTTTCAGGGATAACTTATGAGTGCCTATAGATGTGGATGAAAAAAATTTAACTCGGAACCTACTTCCTATCGGCCATTTTGAATAATACTTTGTATCATATTGGATGGTGTTTTTGAGTTTTTATACTTTAACTATTTAGTAGCTTAATAAATAATTTCAGATGTACTTTGTTGTAAAAGCCTACTTTATTGTTAACAGTAGTTATATGTGATAATTTTGTAAAAAGAAATCAGCAAAAACTCATAAGGACTTTTTTATTGTCGGCCATTTTGGATTTTTCGGTCCTAAAATCTTGTCTGTGAAGTCTTGTCTGCGCGTTTTCAGGTGAACCGTTTGGTTGATCAATTTCAAATTTTCAGGGATGATTCTTTGTATGAAAATCTACATCTGATTAGTTTTTTTGCATTCTGCGTAAATGTTAAGGCAGCCATTTTGGATTTTCTGTCCTAAAATCTTGTCTGTAAAGTCTTGTCTACCCGTTTTCAGGTGAACCATTTGGTAGATCAATTTCATATTTTCAGGGATGATTCTTAGTATGAAAATCTACAAACAGATTAGTTTTTTTACATTCTGGGTAAATGTCAAGGCAGCCATTTTGGATTTTCCATCCTGAAATCTTGTCTGTAAAGTCTTGTTTACATGTTTTCTGGTTAACTGTGTGACGGATCAATTTCAAATTTTCAGGGGTGGTTCTTAGTATGAAAATCTAGAACTGACTTAATTTTTGGCATTCTGGGTAAAATTTTAAGGTGGCCACTTTGGATTTTCCGTCCTCAAATTGTGTTGGTAAAGTCTTGTGTACTCATTTTCAGGATAACCATTTGACGGGATCACCACTTGGTGGGGACATTTTGTACACATTTGTGTTCTTGTATGTACTTGTTGCATGAGAAATAATTCAAGACTAGAAAATCAGAAAAAATCATCTTGAAAGAATAGACCATGACCATGAGGAAGATTCCATGTTGACATATCATTATGAAGTCTGGGCTACATCACTAAAGTACTATGGCCCTGTGCTTGGTTGAATTCAGTTAACTTCCCTTATCCTTTTGTCCATCTGTTGAAACATTTGGAAGATGTTTGTGTTTAAAATATTCAGTACACCCATGATCCAACAAGGTTGTGGTAGAAGCACCCTTATATGGTGTCCAATTTCCTATTTGTTTGCTCATTGTTCCATGGGTATGTGTGCATATTCATATTTTCTAAAAAGTCCAGGAGTTCTATATTTGATCAGATGTCTTATTCTTTATTTCATAAAATTAAATAGAATTGTTAGGGAAACAAAGGCATGATTTTTATTGCACTTTAAAAAAGTATATAGTACTTGCCATCATGATGTCGCCATCTTGTTTAACAAAATATCACTTGCAACATTTACATTCTATCCCTTCTACCTCCTTGATATAAATTGTGATTTTCTGAACTGAACCTGTTTATTTCGATATAATTATTAATAGTGCTATGAGACTGTTATTTATGTAAAACAATTTTTATACTTCAGATCCAGCTAATATGGACATATCAGAAGAGCAAACCCCAACAACTCCCTTAAAGGTCCGCAGACATGGGCAGTTACCTAGCGATCTCAATGACATTATGGACAATGTTCTTAATGGCCATTAACACATAGAAACATTGCAATATTACAACTGATGATGAATGGTGATGAAGAAGGAGGAGGATGAGGAAAAGGAGGAGAATGATGTGCATCACAATAAGGCAAAGGTGTAATAACATGTTGAAAACATTCTAGAACTCTATCTATATGCTTGAGAATGAAAACTTGTTATGATAAAGAGAGAGAAATATTGCGATGTGCCTGTTTTCTTCTTCACACATGGTTGAATAAACTGTTTGCTGTTCGAGATTTGACGCACTTTTTCTGATACGGAGAGGTTGAAAGAATATGACAATGTAGAGAAAAAATAGTATTATGCAAGTACATAGTACAAAAGATTGATTTATACCATCAATATCGATATAAAATCAATGAGAGTTCATTAAAGCAGATTCACTTGTGAATGAAGAACAAAATAGATGTTGCCTATTTAATGAGTAAAAGGGCTTGTGTAATGTACTAAAACAGCCAAGAGGTGATCAAATATCATTCATATTGAGTGGGTTTTGTTTAATACAGTGTAGACAAGCAAGTATTACACCACCAAATTTGGCACAGTATCCAGTGGTAACATGTACATACATGCTATGATGAATTGACATGAGTATTCATTTTTATACAGTCCATTGTATTTTGATGAGTAAATTCTCAGACAAAACATTTACAAAAATAGGTTGCATTTGGAAATTGGAATCATCCAGATTCATTCCAACTTCAGAAAATGTAGCTAACTGAGCTAAATGGAATAATTTAGAATTCCAAGTTGTTGACTGAATGACTGTATGGTCGGAAATATTTTTATACAAGCACTATACAGGATGAAATAGTGTCAGTGAGAGTCGGGCTTCTTCATGTATATTAGTATTAACAGAATGAGGCTTTTCGTGTGAAATCATTATGTAATAAAATAACACTAGTCTTATCCTGGAGCTCTGAACAATATGGGGCGGCATGTATATAGGGAACGACAAATTAATATGTATATATTGAAAGTATGGTGAAGTGTGTCCGACAGATCAAATTAGAATTAATAATGATCATGAATGTAAATAAGAAACAACTACTTAAGCTAGCAACGTGCAGTATTTTCAATTTATTAAGTTCAGTATGTCTCGACTGTAAGGGGCTGCCACTTCAGTGTATTCTGTAGTATAAATTCGCTAGGTATTACATGGGTTTTCCTCATGAAAACTTGACAATTTCTGCCTGCTGATGACGGGATTTTTCTAATATTCAGTGTTTCTTCCAATTATCTTGAAGGGACATTGACATGTGCAAAATCATCAAAAATATTGAAGTCAATAGATGGATAAAATATCTAACATGATGTATGGACATGTTTTTTTTTCAAAAATCTACATTTGCAAGGTATTAAATATAAAATATGAGTATTCTTGCAAACACAATTTTCATGTCACTTACCCTCACAACGAGCTGATGACTGAATGTTCTATGGTACCTGAGACAAACAATCTGAATTTGAATCTATTCATTATTAAACCTGCACATCGCTCCAAAACGCAATATGTTGACATATATTGTTTTTACATTTTCAAGCTTTAATATAAAGTTTATGTAAATAAAAAAAATTTTTTTCCGCGTAATATCAAAGAACAATCATTTAGTTAAAAAAATAAAAAGGCAAGTGCGGGATTCGAACCCGGGCCTCCCGCGTACTAAGCGAGGATTCTTCCGCTAGACCACCGTTTTATTATGAATGGTGAAAGTAATTAAACGCTACTTATTTTGAATGCTATGATTCGGAAGTGACGTCACGTTCTTCATTTAGAAACCTTTCCAAAATCATATCGCCGGCTCCGATCGAAGCAATTCAATGAAAAATCTTTGAAATGACACATTTATCGTAAGTATTTCTACACAAGATTTGCCCCATTTGTTCATCATTCTATAATCTTTCATTAGGCTCAAAATGATAAAGTTCACCCCCGAAACGACCCAAAATTGCGTTTCGGAGCGAAGTGCAGGTTTAATTTGAATGCTAATGAAGATATTATTCCTTGTATTCTGACTAATAATTTAACTTAATGTAGTTGAATACCTGTAATAATAACATACCTACTGAAATTCCATTGATGAAATGTACGTTGTACTTAAAAGCAAGCTTGATTGATTCTTGTTGAACAATTGATGAATGCAATTTTAGAAGCTATCACTCAACCAGCAGATTGAACATGGAATTATTAGGAATGTAAAAGTTGTATTTATGGGAGTTGTTAATATCTTTATTAGTTGTTATCAAATTATATATCTAATCTGTTAGATGTGTGCAAGTCAAAAATTTCTTGAAATGGACATTTCCATATTTTTTCATTGTATAAAATCATAGAGTACTTTAATCAACTTTAAAATATAATAATTATGAATAAATTAACTTTGTAAATGAGTACATGTACATGACAATGCAAAATCCAGGATATAAGAAGCAAAAAGACAGTCAAAGAGGAACAGTTCATAACCTCTTGACTAAATCATTGTATTATTCCTGGTTATGAACAATGGACTATTGATGGTGTGAGTTACATGGATATGAATGTGTGGTTCCTGCCCATACAAGTATGCTATTCTGATTCTGAAAATTATCTATGTATATATACAATGTGGTTGTCTGTATATAGATGTCCCCATGTTATATGTTAAACGAATGTATTTCACGCTTGTATGATAGTTCTATCCTATATTATTCTAATCTAATGTTAGCACCTCTGCTTTCCTATAGGATTATGGTGCTGCTTGTAATATGTTAAGTTAAACTGCTGAGAAAGTTAAATATAAAATCAAAAATAGATATGAATCAACCAATTTTTAAAATTTAAGTTTAATTTAAGCCGCAGCATTTGATAACAGAACTGAACAGTGTGTGGTTCACAAAGTTTCAACCATTTATAGGCCTTTGTACATTGTACAACAGGGCCATAACCAATGGGTTCACCTTTCAAAATGCTCGAATTGACAACTTTGGCCCAAAAGCACTCAGAATGGTGGAAAACTGCATGATTATGAAAGAAATTTTTGACCCCTGCTTTATGGTATGTCAAATTTGTGTACTGTCCAGTTGATTATCACACCTGAAAGTTAATTTTCATTAAATATTGTCATGTTTGTGACTAACTGCATATTAAACTGGTGAACAAGGATTGTTTCAAATATCAGAACTTCATAATAAGATAAGATCCATTGACCTTAAAATCATAGAATGAAAGTCTACTGTTTGGATTGATAATTTATGAAATATCAATTCTGTTAAGGATTTTGACTGTTATGTACAGTAAAACCTGTGTATATTGAACATTTTTTGCCAAGAAAAAGCGTTCAATGTTGGTAGGTGTTCACTAGAGAGAGGTGTTCACTAAGACAGGTTTTACTGTATTCTGAATATTATTCCATAAGAAAGAAAGAAAATTAATATTTTACCCAAATGTATAAGACTACGTTGTTAGTGTAAAATATTTGTTAAAGTTTTGTTATACAATATTTATTTTGCTCAAGCAAGTGGGTGGAGTGTTAAAGGGCTAACAGCATCGATTTTCAAATATAAAGGTAAATAAAGTATGCTAAAGTAGTCTATGACATAAACTGATGTAAAATTATGTGTGTAAAATAGGCTTCTTTCTTGTTAACATTATTTATGATGCTTATTGGTTTATTCTTTCAAATTGTATTTTATTTTATTATTTAGCAGTAGTACGGGAATTTGCGTTAATTACCCTTATTTATTTACAAAATTTGAGTTTTGGGGTTTTTATAGCTAATTTAATTTGAATTACATTTTCAATGAGAAAAACATCAAAATTCAAATGAGATCAATGAGATTTTTCAGAAATTGCTTCTTATATTGGAGTACTTTTGAGAATTGTTACTTTATCAGTAACATTTTATATGTGTATAGATACATGAGTTACCATATCAACGAAGTCCATGATGTTGAATGTGTAATAAAACTGATTATATTGTAATATAAATGAAACGTATGTTATGTTGCAGTCATGTACCCAGAAACCATACATATTTAATTTTCCATATATTATTTAATATATACAGTAAAACCTGTAAAGTGGAACACTTCTGTTAATAGAACAAGACCCACTGACTTCATGTTAAATTAACTCTATAAATAGAACACTTCCAAAGTGGAACAATTTGATGCACAAATGGTGTTCCACTTTGACTGGTTTTACTGTATTATGATTATACATGTGGAATGTTATTTACATTACAATTTCAAAAAATGAAAAGGATCAATAATACTTTGGCTTGTTGAGGAACAAATTCAAATTATTCTTTACAAATAAAAGTTCCACAAGTAATATACAAGTGGTGACATATTGTTATTGTCTCCAACTTTTTTGTGAATGGTGCTTGGCAGTGGTTTTCTCTGAATGGCCTATCCTTAATGGACCTCTGAATGACAATTTCATAACAAGGCATTAACATGCAAAATGTCACCACCTGCCATTTGTTACAGATACCAAACACCAAGACGGCCTTCGAAAACTAGTACGCGTACCTATTAGCAATGATTACTTGCATACTCTAAATGATGATCCTTATAAAATTGGAATATGTTCAACTGTACATGATTATTAATGTTGAGATTTTTCTATCCAGTTGTTATGAAGAAATCTCATTCTGTTGCTAAGTTTTTGTTCTCTTATTATTTCTTCGTAATTCTCATCTGAAAAATACATGAGGCCGGGGAGATTTCATTGATCAGCATATCAGCGTTTGCTGTTTCTTCTTGCTCATAAAACTTCTTCATATTTCATCTCTGCTGGCAATTAACTACTCTACAGAGGTAATTAACGATGACATTTACATAAAAAGAGTTATGTTGGAAGGATATTAAATCGCATTGCTGATATATGGCAATATGAATACTTACTAGTCATCTTAGGAATATTAATGACTTTTATTGATACATGCCTTCCATGATTAATTAGCGTATGATGAGGAAATATATATTTTAGAGGAAGGGCTTCAGCAGTTTTACACCCTGACATCCGAGTGCTTAATTTTTGCAGAAAGGAGCGTGTGAATTCTATGGAACCTCGGTTTACTTTATTATGTCACCACCAAAAGTGGTGACATATTGTTATGGTCTCCAAATTTTTGTAAACTTGAACTTGACAATTGGCCCATTGCTGATTTGCTATAGTACATGTATTGTCATTTATTGTCATGTAATAACTCAAATACTTGTAAACTAATTTCGCTCATATTTGGAAGTACGTTGAACAATCGTTAATGGTTTAACAGAAAAAGTTTAATTTTAAACCAAGTAATGGATATTAAATTAATATTTTTAGATAAAATAATTAATATATGGAATTTTGATTCTTGAGATTGGTGCCTTTTAAATTGTGAACAATTGTGGACTTTTAAATTGTGGACACCCAAATTCAGTAAAATGCATTTTTGTAGATTTGATCAAAAATGCAAAGTCACCACAATAGAATAATTCTGTCTGACTCTTGAAATATCTAAAATGAGAATCTTTGATTTCAGTTCACAAATGACCATTTTGAACATTTTTGTGAAAACATGACTGATAAAAATAGGAACATGTTCCATGATATTCTAACTTTGTAAATTATATTGTTTGACTCTGTGCATTTCAATGTCACCATTTAATTTATTGTACCCAGACTTTATAATTAAATTAGGCAAAATGAAGTATCTACTTCTCCTAAGTAATACAAAATCCTCGAGCCATCATAATCTAAACCAGCAAAATTTACGAGCTCCACACAACTTGGTAATATGGCTTCAGAGTGCCAAGTCAACATTACTTCTTGGGATCAAATATGTATTGAATTACTCGATACTCTGTATGTTTGAAGAGGAGAAATTTATGGTACATTTCCAAGTGATTGTTACATGCTAGCCAGATGCCCCTTGAGTGCTTTAAACTTCCATATCCCTTAATTGTCATTAATTAAAGCATAGTTCTCCCAGTACTGAGACTGTATACTAATTAAGGTATATGGGTAAAGTATGTACTTATTAATAACTAGATGGTAGTAATTCCCAGTGAACTTGTGATTAGCGGCATATGCTGCACCAATATTTTAAATTGATAATTTATGTGATTTGTAGTCAAAGAAAGAACATGATTGAAAAGTCTTCCATGTTAAAAATAAATGGCATTTCGCCAAGAAATTGAATATTTGCATTTTAGTTCTGCAGCACTCTATGCAAACACAAAAAAGTCTGACTTGGAATTTATTTTTATTTTCATTGCATTAATAGATGTCACCTTGGTAGTTATTTACACACCCAGACTCTTGATGCCCTAATAAAGCTTGATATCTTATGCAAGTAAAACCTCCCAGCAGATGGAGAATTGACTTTTACGACCAACCCAATAACTAGTAGAACTGACTATATTTGCATTCCTGTTGAGCCTGTGAGTCAGGAAGGCTGTAAAATCACAATGATGTTCCGAGAGAGAAGAGTCCACTTGTCACAGCATTTATAAACTTTGATGTAACAATTACAACAATTTATAGCCCAGGGGAGTATAGTTTGACTCCTAACTCCCAGCAACAAATTGGAATATAGAGACTGGAGCATGCAGGATTAATACAACTTGAACTGTGATATTTGATAAGAGGACTATCGATGGTCTTTATTGAATCTAATGTAGCAATGAAACTGTTATTGCTTCCATTTTTCCCTCAAAGCTGCTTTATTGGAAAATTAACTACCAATAAATCCAAATTAAGCCATATGAATTTAGTTATTTGGATCGCAATTTTTGATTGTGACTATATCATGTTCTATATACATGTACATGTAATATTCACTCACCAATTGTGTATTGTGTTTAGCACAATCAATATTTATTGTGTTTAGCACAACTAATTTTAAGCATACTTGTGATGTAGTTTGAAGAATAACTTGTTGAATAAATGTCACGGTTAATAAGTAGATTAGTACTGTATTTAGTACCTTTGATTGATTGTGTTTTGTTGACATTTTACAAGGGAACTCCTTATTTACCCATAATTCTTCATGGGAAACTCCATATTTGAAAACGAGGCTGACATTTGCATACAGGAGGGAATTTCCCCAAGTTGTCCGAGAAGATTGTCAACAAAATCGGTCAAATTCTGCTACCATCGCTTCAAGTCATTCTAAAGTTAAGTTATTTCTGGCATCATCACTCTTTCCTCTATCAGTTGCTTGTATTATTTTGTATTTGTGAGGTTGACAAAGTTTTAAAACGGCCTTTGAAAGTATTAAGTGTACAGCAATGACTGAAGGTGAGTACATGTACTTGTTTGTTTACATTTTTTCTCAGAGCCAATCCAATTCCATCTGAAGGTCCCAGTTAATTTTATATCAATATAGAGCTTTTATGTTCATTTATCTACTTTCTTCTCTCAAACCAATGCCTATATCACCCGTGAAAGGGATGTTTTGCCCAGTTTAAACCTTCATTGTGACCAAACCCAAGCCAAATCCAATATTTGTTCACATTGAACATCAAATTCTTGAGTTTTGACTATAGTTTCAAAGTTGCAGTTTCCAATACTCATAAATATTTTATGGAGTTGCTGCCTCTTTGATCCTTAGCATCAGTTGCTGCGTGTATTGATTGCACAGCCACTCAGTAGCTTCAAAGAAAATTGATGGAAATAATGTGATGAGTTTAGTTGATTTCCTGGCCACTTGGTGGCTCTAGTAGTGAGTTAAATGAACCAACCAGGATGAAGTATGTTGAGAGTAGGTTGTAACTTGGAAGTTGCTTTGAATAGTTCATTTAGCACTCCACTAGTCACTGATCAATGATGATACTTGGCTCGCAAAAAAGTTTAATAATTTGAAGTCGGAATTTAGGCGATTATTTTGAAAAAGAAGTTTTAAGGACAGAATTAATTTATTAAACAAGATTGTAAGGAGGGAAATTCAAAGTTTTAAAGTTTTACAAAGAACTTTCAAGATGCAGAACTTTCCAAATATGTCATTTGAAATGTTTCGGTTGAACTTGTGGGCTAATGCGGCTAAACCATATTTGGCTTCTTTACCAGGGCACGGAATGGAAAATGGTGCCTACTTGCCAAACCCCCTGACTTCGCCAGCCTTGATGGTCCTTGCCTCCACTGCAGAAGCCTCAAGGGAAACTCCGTCTCAGGCAAGTGGACCGCCCCACCCTGCATACCCACAAAATTTGGAGAAGAAACCAGACCCAGCACATACTACACCTAACACATATGGTGTTTACCAACGAGGAGATGGACCGTATCCTCCACCCATGTATGCACACATGCATGGACCATTTGCAAGACCACCTATGGGTCTCATTAACCCAGGGGGTGGGGGTGCATTTAGGCCAGTTCTGTCCCCTGAAGATAGGGAAAGCTATCATTCAGCTTTCACACCTGCAAAACGGTCCCGTTTAGAAGAAATCCCCTCCAGCCCAGGGAAAACAGATGATGACGGGGGTAAGGATGGTCAATTGTCTAGTCCTGGAGGGTCAGCATCAGCGTATGATATTGAGACACGGTCTGAAGGTGGGGATTCAATAGATAGAGGCACACCAGATAGCGAGGGCAGAACACTAAGAAGTAAGTTTAACAATTTATTTTAATCAGATGTAAAAAGTTTTTGAACATAAGTTTATTTTATTTCTAATATGTACATGTAGCTTTGTGAATATGACAGACAGTGAGTAAAAAATCATTAGATTACTAACTCTTTTAGATAAAATTCATAAATTTATTTTATAGAATCCTTGATACCAAGAGGTTAACATTATATACCCAGTATATCTAGCAAGAGATTATATAGGTGTTCAATATGAGAGATGATATGATAGGATATCTGGTAGAGGACCATTGAGTCAGAGGGAAGATATCATATCATCCTGATAGAGGAACCTCAGATGAAACCCCATCCACGGAATAATCTTTTTATCCTGATTAATATTATAAAAGTATATTAGTAGTCTAAAATTCACTAATTCACCTGATCAACACTATTTTCAAGTTTCAAATTTTTGACTTGCATTTATTTTCTATGTAATTTATTTACAACATTTTTCAAAAAGATATCTAGGATTTATATTGAATATTTATTCGTTGTTTTGAGGAACCGGAATGTTTCCATGTTAAAATTTCCACAAACGTTTTTAAATATATACATCAGAAATTTTAATGAAAACTTTCAGAAAGTCTGACTTTGTGCATAAGCTATATGTTGAAAAAAGTTACTCTAATTAATATACATAATACATTGGGTTTATGTCATTATATTTCTAAAGGAAATATCAAAAAGAAATTATAAGAGACCAAATGTTACCCGTAACGCTTTAGTTAATTAAACTTTAATTTATTTATTTAAAATTAGTCTTAACTATAAGAAGATAATCTTGATGTAATTTATATTAAATATAGATTTGTAAATAAACAAGTAGTCTGGAGAATGTTAAAGTATTATATAGTAATCATACACCTTAAATTAAATCAACTTTAAATCAATTATAAATATTCAAAATCATCAATTCAAATTTAATAATTAGGGATGATAAAACATCGTGGATCTGCTTTGATATTATCTTAAAGATAACTGTAGTCAAGATTGTTGTTTTTAAAAATCACAAATTAACACAAAATCTTGTTATAACATCATTAAAAAGGATGCTTTTAATAAGTAATTACTCCGTCTGAGGTATCTGTACTTTGATGAACTATTTTTGAGAGAGCAATTTGTTTTTTAGGAGGCAAATGATGCAATCATCCACTTTGTACATGTATTCAAATGTGAAATTACTGCATGTTTTGATTGCATGATTTGATTAAATTGGTGTCACATTCTAGCTGATAGCAATTCTGTAATTGTTGAGAAACATGATATTTGTATAGGCCATGTTGAAAGAAGCATAACCATTATCCATAAAAATGAATGAAATAATCATAAACTATACCCAAGATTTTACCTTAGCCTTATATTCATGAATAGATTAATAAATTTTGAATGAACGCATTTTCTTATAGAGAAGGTCTAGTGAAATGGTTGTGGTCCCAATATTTATCTGTTTAGCACCTTTGCTGAACTTACAAATACATAGTTCTCTCAATTATTCAATTGTTTTAAGAAGCAACCTTGTTACATCTAAGAATAATGAATCTTCCTCTTGAAGTTCTTCTTTATAATATTGGAAACATCTGAAGTCATTTCAGCTGAAAAAAGTATAGATTAATTTTTTTAATTATTTAATTAATTGGAGAAACCCTCAAAACTAATTTTGGTTAAAATAGAACTCCTATTTAAAAGTCTGTGTACCTCTCTAAATCTAAAGACCTCTCCATATGAACACTTTTTTCTCAATTTTTAAAACCTCATATTGTGAACACCTGCTAAGTGCTAATATGAACACTTTTGGCTGTGTCTAAGTGGTGTTCCAATTTGACAGGTTCATTGTATATTTGAATTAACATATTTTATGCTCCACCAACACTGTGTAACTATATTTGAATTTAAAGTACATGTATATTATTAAATATTTTGTATACACTGTACAAATTAGTGTTGTCACACTTCGATAATATGTCTAGACTTTTAGTCATTGAAGTTCCAGAATAAGAAACCATATTGGCTAAACCTTTGGTTTGTTTTTGTTTTTTGAATGAAATCAAGCCAAAGATTTTATTTTCAGTATGCGCATCATGAAGTCATACCATGTTGAGTCAATATGATATTTGAAAGCATATAGTCTTGAGAAATGAAATTCCTAACAATTCCTATTCTATGAGAAAGAACAATGGGCAAGATTAATAAAAACTACATAATCAAGACTAATTATAAGAAATGCATTGTCAACACGAAACGGCACCTATTGCAAAATGCTAATTACATTTCAAACTAAACTCGTGATGTTCATATTTATAAAATTTTACTCATGCTAGAATTATACATGTCTTTCATCATATTTATATTATAGTATTTATATAGATAGTATCAACAAAAATATGAAAATATTAGTTTAAATTGATTTCGATAAGGTAACATTTTAAAGGCTTAAAATATACTTCAAAATAATTTTTAGTGTAGCAAAAAAGTAGTTGTATGCAATAATATATCTTTCCAACTCAATGAGGTACATAATTTTTTCTTATTTTGTTCAGCCTGTTTTACAATTCAATAGTGTGTGACAGTTGGTCAACCATATATGGTTTATACTTGTTGGACAATATATTTAGATCATTGCAGAATTGTTGAGTCTGCAATTCATACCTAAAAGATCAGCTGACTATACAATCTAATTTTACTGAGCAACAGGGCATCAGAAACTGTTTTCTATTTTCTCTTCAGACTTGGTGTATTCCTTTCAGTTTATTGTATATACATATGGGGACCATGTTTTCTAACTTATTTTGCAACAGAATAAATTATGGTTGCATTTTTTTCTTTCTCATGAATTCATATTTGTTTCCCATTTTCCCATTCTCTATTTTTTGTTTACACATTCCACCATTGGAGAATGGAGAATATGACACATCAAACGTTTCTGTTTGAAATGAAAAGAAATAATAAACTTCAGAAATGTTTAGCGATTTTCCACATCCTGATATGATTGGTTAAGTGAGTAAAGTTGGTAACAATTAGGCCCTTAGCTGCCATTAGTGAAGTATTTCTGACAAGTTTCGGCCACATGTGTGCATTATAATGCAGTTGAGGGCCGCTGCATCTGAGCCAGGTTAATAATACCTTTTTGTTTATTTGTGCAACTTATGCCTAACTTACACTGCTTACACACCAACATATTTCTCCAACCTGTTTCTCAGAGAAGCATCTGCTTTATTCTAAACAAGACCAGTTGTGCCCATACATTACACTTACTCCTGTAACTGAGGCCCCAAGTCTCACCAAATAACACACCTTTTCCATGTAGCACGGAAAACGAAGAAGTTGAGCCCCATGTGTAGGGAGTAGGGTTAGCAGAACTGTGTAAAACATGAGTTCTGTTTAGAAGGAGTGCGCCGATCAAAGTGTGTGTTTGGTGTAAGAACTTGTAGATGCTGGTTTGTCTATGTGGCTTTGAAAGTGATCTGAGATATAAGTGGCTGAAATTGCAGCTTGATAGTTGTTACATCTGTTCCTCGCTGCCCTGTAACGCACACCCAGACTTCTCCAATCATTCCATTCTACTTCTTTTTTCCTCCCACCCATGTTGTGGCTCAGTCACTTGAGCGTTTGTAATTGTACACCATGATCTTCACCTATCCCCAATACTCAACTCTTGTTAACTGGAGATGATTTCCAAAAGGACAAGGATAAGCTTACAAAGCATTATTTTTTACCATGTTTTTGATGGCTTTTCATGTTGCTTTACACGGCTGGGAGAGATTAACACTGTGTGTTAGATGGGCCACAGGTAAGGGAACAAGTTCGTTAGTGTTTCTCACCTGGGACTAGCTGCTTACCTGGCTAGGTAACAGACTCCTGCAGCTACTATCTCATGCTAATACCAGCCAACTAGATTCTCTTTCTCTCCCTCAACAAAGCTCAGATCTTCTCTAAGAAACTCCCGATTGCTTTCATCAGTCAAGTACCCTCAACTAATAGTCTTTAATTACTTAGCATTAAGATTAACGCCACCCCAGTCAAAAGAGCTGCACTCTTCTCTTTCATAATTTATCCTGAAAATCATCAATAAAAATTCATTTTCTGTTCTTGAGTTTGAAGATGCCTACTAGTGAACGACTTGTGAGCTTTTCCGGTTTTTGAAGAATCCATCAAAGTTAAACCCAAGCTTAACAAGTTTTATTCTCAAAGCTTAGGGTCTATTACAGTTTATAAAATAGTCCCTTTTCATGATCTTTTAACGCGACTATTTTCAATATGCGTATGAGAAAAAGCATAAGTAATTGCAAAAATCTAAGATAAACTGTTTCTGTCAACTTTCAATAGCATGTCATAATTATTTATTCATTCTAATGTAGGCCTCATTATAAGATTAAACGGCAAGTTAATCCAGTAGGCTCTTCATTGCTCGATAATTGATAGGGACGCATACCATATGTTTTCTTTGCAATTCTTATAAGAGTACTTGAGTTTAAAAAAGCGAGCATGGTACTCAAATCGTCTCTTCACACATATTCAACACACAGGTGGGATTATGCAGAGGTTATTAAAATCACATTATGTTAATCAAATACTTAATTATGAATTAATTAGCTAATTCTTTTGAACTTGTGATTCATTGAAAAAATGCTCTTTTTGGGAAAGTTTATCGCGAGCAAACATTATTTTAAAAGGACTAGTTTTTGCAACATTAAAATTATTTCAAAATAATGGGAAAGTGTCATGTTTTGTTTTAATGTGTACAATTTATACTTTACGGAAATGTTTTGTAAAAATGAATAATGTATTATTGCGGCACAATAACATGTTGCATACAATTATACATGTTTGAATTCATAATTGTTGTGGATATAATACTTTTAATTATTTATAATATTAACTCTTTCTGTTAAAGAATAAATCCACGAAATAAATTCATGAATAATGAAACAATTTACAATTCTGAAATAATATCCATGATAAAAAGGAAGTAATATATTGA